ACTTCACCATGTCTTCTTCTCCCAAGACAAAGAATTTTTTAAAAAATTCGTCCTACTGAGATATAACTTTCCTACAGTGAAATACATAGTTCGGTTTCGACAAAGACATACGTGCAAGTAACCAACACTCTAATCAAGATATAGAACATTCCCACCACCCCAGAAAAGTTTCTCATGTCCCTTCCCATTCAATCCTACCCCCTGGCCTGATTTCTTCACCATGGATTAGTTATGCCTGCTCTAAAATTTCATATAAATACAATTATTCAGAATACATTCTGTAGAGAACAAGATGGAGTCACTCATGTCAAGCAGGGGCCTGTATCAAGCAATGACACTAGCAGTTAAGGGTACAGCAGCTAAAAGATATCATGGACGACCAGCATGAGCTGACACCCTAGAACTGATAATAAGCAAAAGCATCAGAGGTCTGCAGGACCCAAGACTGATGAAATCTCTTTATAAAGGGGAGGATTTCAGATATGACCCCTCTATGTCTGACCACTTGAACAAGGCAGCTGCCTCCCAAGGGTCTGCTGGATTGATCTCCAAACAGAACTGAGCTCCTTGCCAGCTTGAACAGAATAAACAGTAAGTGCCACGAGCTGACCCGGACCTCACCCAAGCCTTATCTCAACTGCACGGCCACAGACTGACTTTGCATTTGGTTCATTAACTTCCTACACCCCTCTGTTGGCTGCTCTGCTCTGTGTACTGTGTAAAAGGCCAAGTTAATCACATGGTAAAATGTTATTGAGTTTGGAATCCTGTACCTGCTTTATAATTATGTTAACCTTGCTTTATGTTGGAATAAAAGTGACATTGTGGAAAGACACAACTCGCGTGTGCACCTTCATAGCATGCTGATGACACACTACCGTGTCTGGCTTTTCCATAATGGTTTCTGAGAAATATTGTGGGGTGTATCATAACTTATTCCCCCTTTATTTTTTAATTTGGGGGAGGGAAGAGGCAGAAAGAGAGAGAGAGAGAGCAAGAGAGAGAAGGAATCCCAAACAGGCTCCATACTCAGCACAGAGCCCAATGCAGAGCTCAATCCCACAACCCTGGGATCATGACCTAAGTCAAAATTAAGAGTGGGATGCTCAAGGGGCGCCTGCGTGTTAGTCGGTTGAGCGTCCGACTTTCGCTTGGGTCGTGACCTCGCGGTTTGTGGGTTCGGGCCCCGTGTCAGGCTCTGTGCTGGCTGCCAGCTCGGAGCCTGGAGCCTGTTTCGGTCTGTGACTCCCTCTCTCTCTGACCCTCCCCTGCTCGCGCTGTCACTCTCTCTCTCCTGGGAATGGATGAAACATTGAAAAATTAAAAAAAAAAAAAAAAAAGAGTGGGATGCTCAACCAACTGAGCCACCCAGGTGCCCCAACAGTTTTCCTCCTCCTTTCGTTTGTTGAAGAACATCCGGACAATTTCCAGGTCTGGCATTAAATAAAAAATTTGATCCAGTCCCGGCATCATTTTATCTAAACAAAAGAAGTTTGGGACATTGGATTTTGTTACTTTTGAGATTCTGCCTTCCACTGATATTTCGATTTTTCAGGGACCTCCCCCTCTCTATCCCTCTGCAGGAAAATCATAGTACATACATGCAACAGGAGAGGAATGAAGTGGGCATTGAAGATCAACAAGTTTATTTATTCATACAAGGCATAAAGGCTGAATGCAGAAAACAAGTTAATATTTTGTCCAGTCTCACAATCCAATTTTGGAGAGAGTAGTGAAAGCTGTACAGGGTAATAAAAGGGCAGTAATAGTCCCACTTTAAAGCATTATTAGGGCCCTGGTGATAATTCTTATAAGTATAGTTTATACTTATCAAGCTTTAACTAAATGCTAGACATTGTACTAATTATTTCACCTAATTCTTATGCTTGAGGTGGGTACATTCATTATTCCCGTTTCATGTAGAGCATATAGATGCTCAGAAAGTACATAAAGAAGTCCATTAACACTATACACTAGAAGACACTGAAATGAGTGTGGAGACTCATAGAAACCTAAAGGAAATGAAATGGCTAATTTTTATGATTTACTTCATATATATCATTTGAGTGTCTTCTATGTATAGTGCCTTGTGGAGTTGTGCAACTAAATAGTATAAATAGCATTTCCACTTTCTCTTTTCATTAGCAGTTTGTAAGCTCTTCTTAAACCATAAGCTCTCTCTGTTCATGCTCACTGACTCGGGATAGGTGTAATGTGTAGTATCTACTTCCCAGGGAATTACAAACCAGCCGGGCAACTGTAGTTTTACAAATAGAGTAATTTAACACCATTCTTGATAACAAAGTTGTAAGTACTTAGATATTTTAGCTATACTGTTACCAACACTTCTGGCCAAAATTCATGTATGGCAAGAAGGATTTCAGTGGGAAAGTGACCGGTTTAAAATTATCTTTGGGGGATCAATAAAAAATGATTTATTTTCCCCTTAACGCTCTTCTTGTCTTCATTCCCCCTCTGGTCCCTACCCCAAAGACCTTTTAGTATTCTCTTCCTTTACTGCTACTGATTATTATTTTATTCACCTGTTTCACGAATGGAGCAGAAAGTATTCCTTTCTCTGGCAAGAAAGCCCTGAATATGATTTGGAAAAATTTATCCCTAAAAGCATTGGATGAGCTATGTGGTTCGATTTAAAATAGTTTATCCAGGGCACCTGGGTGGCTCTGTTGGTTGAGTGCCTACTTCAGCTCACGTCATGATCTCACAGTTCATGAGTTTGAGCCCCTGACAGCTCAGGACCTGGAGCCTGCATTGAATTCTGTGTCTCCCTCACTCTCTGCCCTTCCCCTGCTTGCGCTCTGTCTCTCTCTCTCTCAAAAATAAACATTAATAAAAATAAAATAGTTTATCCAGGGGCTCCTGCCTCAGTCACTAAAGCATGCAGCTGTTGATCTCAGGGTTGTACGTTTCAGCACCACGTTGGGTGTAGAAATTACTTAAAATCTTTTAAAAAATAGTTTATCTGGAGCACCTGAGTGGCTCAGTCAGTTAAGTGGTAGGGTCTTGATTTCAGCTCAGGTCATGATTTCAAGGTTTGTGAGATGGAGACTCACATCGGGCTCCATGTTGACAGTGCAAGGGGGCTGCTTCCGATTCTCTCTCTTTCTCTCTCTCTCTCTCCCCCTCCTCCCCCACACTCACTTTCCCTCAAAATAAATAAACTTTTAAAAAGTTAAAAAAAAAAACAGTTTATCCATGGTATTGTGAACAGTATAGCTTCCTGTATTACTTTGTGAGGGCTGCCATAACAAAGTACTATACACTGGGTATATAAACCACAGAAACATATTGTCTCACAATTCTAGAGGCTACAAGTCCAAAATCAAGGTGTTGGCAGGGTTGGTCTCTTCTGAGGCCTCTCTCCTTGACTTTAGGTAGTCATCTTCTCTCCATGTTTTCACATGGTCTTCCTCCTGTGTCTGTGTCCTAATCCCTTAACAAAGGACACCAGTCATACCAGATTAGGGTCCACTCATATGACCTCATTTTATTTTCATTACCTCTTTTAAAACCCTGTTTCAAATACACTCATTTTCTGAGGTTCTGGAGTTTAGGATTTCAATCTATGAATTCTGAAGGAACACAGTTCAGCCCATGACACTTCCCATGTGCATCACAGGAGCTGTTAACCTAATAAAATTAGAGAATATTTAGGAAAAGTCTATAAATGCAATTATATCCTGGGCAAGAGGGTGTTTGTTAAGCTGTTAAGTTAGTCACATTTTAACTATTTTAAAATCATTTGTGAACTTAAGTTGGTCGTATGGAAAGATGTCAAGTGGCTACTATTTCAGAGACCAAGGCCATGAAGAGAATCAGGATATGCTGAAGATCATATCTACAAACAAGCAGTTTAATTTTTAAAAATTCTCTAAATTCAAAAAATGATAAAACTAAACTAACAATGGGAAATTATAGAGCATATGAGTTATGGGTCTGATATTGACAATTCTATATGTCAACCTAACATTAAAAAGAAACCAGAGGAGTCGGCCTACAGAAGATAGAAAGGTAAGCTCTTAGGAGCCATTATCATGGAAGATTAAAGGACTATGTCTTAAAAGTATTATACAATTCATACTTAATATCTCAACCTCAGCATTTCCGGTTTGGTCCCATACCAATAATAATATTGTCATCCCTCTTCACCCAATTAATTTCCTTTTTATATTATTAGCTAATTTAATCTTCCAAGCATATTATTTTTTATCTATTCCTGGATTAGGCCTGCTGCGCTACCCAGGCTACCTGCTAAAATAAACGCTGAGCTTTCACTCTCCGAATAAAAAGGTTTTTCCTGCCGGTGGCAAGTTCTGAGAGCTTTACTGCCCCCACCTCACCCAACGCCACACCCGCCCATCCTTCCCGCAGCGTTAGCCTCCTGCACTGGCAAATTCTGCACTTTGCTTTCCCATCAACCTCCTGTCTGTGAGCGGAGGAAAGGATCCCTTCTTCCTCCGAATTCCGTTTTTTGGAACGGAGGCGGGGCGGGGACCCCACTCTCCCACCTTAGGGCAGGTGTGCTGGTGTGGAGGCTGTCCTCAGGGGGCCGTTCACGAGACACGGTTTAACCCTCAAATGACACATGGGTGACATGAGGGAATCTGACAGCCAATCAGGACGCAAGTGTGATGCCGCAAGCATCTTTGTGTCCTGGACAGTAAATGCCAAGCCCGACCCGGCGAAGAGGCGCAACAGGACTCCGGGGTCAAACTTTCAGGGCGCTCGCCGGGCCTATCCGTCGACCGCTTTGGCAGCGGCGCGAGCGCGTCCCCGTTTCTGCTGGGGCTCGCTGATTGGAGACGGGGTGGGGATGGCGGTGGGCGTAGCCAATCCGGGGCGCCCTCTGCCGCTCTTCTCCCCGCCCCACTCCTCCCGCGGAGTTAGCCGGCTGCGGTCTGAATCCGGGGTTGTCCGCTTGCGCTCTCCCAAGGGTCGGCCGACGGAGAGCGGAAGGAGCCGAGGCTGGGGACGCAGGCGCGCAGGCCATGGGCTCCGCGAGGCCGCCGCAGCCCCCAGCCGAGGGCTGGCGCTGGCCTCTGCGCCTGCCGCACGCGCCTCTCGAGCTGCCGCGGCTGGACCCCGTCGGCGGCGCGCTGCTGCTGCTCGGCCTCGCGGCGCTGCTCCGCTGGAGCTGGCTGTGGCGGCACCGGGCGCGGGGCATCCCCCCGGGGCCCACGCCCTGGCCCGTGGTGGGCAACTTCGGCTTCGTGCTGCTGCCACCGTTCCTCCGACGGAAGAGCTGGCTGCATCGCCGGGCGACGGCCGCAGGAGTGGAGCCCTCGGCCCTGGGCCCGCAGTTGCTCCTGGCCGATCTGGCCCACATATACGGCAACGTCTTCAGCTTTTTCATCGGCCACTACCTGGTGGTGGTCCTCAGCGACTTCCAAAGCGTGCGCGAGGCGCTGGTGCAACAGGCCGAGATCTTCAGCGACCGCCCGCGGGTGCCGCTCGTCTCCCTCGTAACCAAGGAGAAGGGTGAGCCGGGCCTCGGCCGCCGGAGCCTTGAGGGTCGCGGGCCGTGTGAACGCGCGATGCCGCGCGTGAGGCGCCAGGTGCACCGGGCTGTGGTTCCTGTGCCCTTTGCAGTCGCGCGCACCCAGCCCGGCTCACCTGCAGGCAGCCCAAAGCAGGAGGGCGGCGGCGGCGACGCCTCCTTTTTCTGGTGCCTTTCAGATCTCACCGAGCTGTGATGGATGGGGGACTCGTTCTCATTCCGAGATAAGGGGTGGGAAACCCACCGGAAAGTTGAGGAAGGGTAATGGGGCCGGGGGCGCGGGTGGAGGCACGGTGTGAAAGCCAGGCTCAATGCTTCCGGGGATATCCAGTCCTTTCCAGAACAAGGCTTCATCCTCAAAGCTGAGTCCCCAGGGGGAAACTTTGGCGGTGTTAGAAGGAAACGGGGATACTCATTACACCTTCTGTGTTCTGAATGAAAGAGTTTAAGAAGATAGTTTCCCAGAAGATAGAAAGTCCAGAAAACGTGTTAGGAGCCTAGTGGCAAACCTAGTCTACCTGGCTTGTAACCTCTGTGATTTCTGCTTATGGAAGTCCAAGTTGGGCAGTTTTGATGGTTGGGAAGCATATTATCCACATTTACCCTCTCCCTAACTCAAATCCTTCCACATCCTTTGTTTATCAGTCTTACCTTTTGTCTTACTGGCTGGCATAGGTCCCAGATCTTTTTGTCTGAGTTCATAATGTTAATTTAATTGCCTTTCATCAGTCTTTTCCTTCTGGAAGATTTTTCTCACTCCCTCTCCAAGTTAGTTCCCTTTTGGAACCAGTTTCTTTGCACAAGTACTTTTTTGGCTGCACTTATCAAAACTGGGGCTACAGAATTTTGTAACTTTGGGCCTAGATGTGGGTCTTTACCACTAGACTGACATCTAGGAGAACGTAGACTGTGACATAAAGAGATTCAGGCTTTTAAGAATCTGATTAAACCAGGGGGGCCTGGGGGGCCTAGTTGGTTAAGCGTCTGGCTTCAGCTCAAGTCATGATCTCACGGTTCGTGGGTTCGAGCCCCGCATCGGCCTCTGTGCTGACAACTAGCTCACAGCCTGGAGCCTGTTTCGGATTCTGTGTCTCCCTCTCTCTCTCTGACCCTCCCCTGCTTATGCTGTCTCTATCGCTCTCTCAAAAAAAAAAAAAAAAAAAATCTGATTAAGCCAGAGTTTTCCCTCAGGATTTTAAATGAATAGCAGTGATGATTATAATACTTTAAATATCCCACTGAAAAACAAATGTCACAGTTCATAACCCACCATCTCCATGCCTTCACACATGCTGCTGCTTCTACCTAGAATTCTCTTCCAATCTCATGGCTGCCCAGAGAACTCCTGCTTGCTCTTCTTTTCTTTCCTCTCTCTTTAGACAAATTGTGGTGAAATACACATAACATAAAATTTGCCATCTTAGCCATTGTTAAGTTCAGTGACATTAGGTCATTCACATTGTTATGAAACTGTTACCACTATCTCCAGAAAATCTTTAATCTTGCAAAACTGAAACTTCGTACCCATGAAACAAACATTTAAAAAATCCCCTCCTTGGGCCACCTGGCTGGCTCAGTTCGTAGAGCATGTGACTCTCCATCCTGGGGTTGTGAGTTCGAGCCCCATGTTGGGGGTAGAGATTATGTAAAATTTAAAACAAAAACGAAAAGACCCTCCTTCCTCTCTCTAGCCCCTGGCAACCACCGTTCTATTTTTGGACTCTGTGAATGTGACTATTCTAGGTACTTGATGTAAGTGGTAGCGTCCAATATTTGTTCTTTTGTAACTGACACACTTCACTTAGCCCCATGTTTTAAGGTTCTTCCATGTTGTAGCGTGCGTGAGAATTGCTTGCCTTTTTAAGTCTGAATACTGCTCCGTTGAATGTCTATAACACATTTTGTTTATCCATTCGTTCTCTGATGGGTGCTTGGATACTTCTGCCTTTTTGCTATTGTGAAAAATGCTGCTATGCACATGGTACAATACCCATTCTAGTCCCTCTTCTCAGTTATTTTGAGTAGTTACCCAGAGGTGGAATTGCTTGATCATATCGCAATTCTGTATTTAATTTCTTGAGTAACTGCTCTACTGTTTTCCATGGTGTCTGCACCATTTTACATCCCCACCAGCAATGAACAAGGTTCCAGTCTGCCCACATCCTCACCTTGCTGTTTTCTGTTTTTCATACCCGCTTAAGTGGAACCTCTTTGAGAATGTGTTCCCTAGCATACTCTTCCTCCTACCGGGGAGAGGTGAGCTACCCTTTCTCTGTACCACTGTTCGGACGGAAACCCCACTCCCCTCCCACTCCCCTCCCACTTCCCTCCCACCCCCCTCCCACCCCTGCCAGTCAGTTAGCAGGTCTTGTCAGTTCTGCAGCGACAGTTCTGTATCCATCCACTTTTTTCCGCCTCTGTTGTCAGCACCTTCATGCCAGGTACCATCATTTTTCATTTGATAACTTGAAGCCACTTACCTTCCTATTTGCTTCTACACAAGTTGTTTTTTTTCTCTTAATATTTATTTATTTTGAGAGAGAGACAGCATGAGCGGGGGAGGGACAGAGAGAGAAGACACAGAATATGAAGAGGCTTCAGGCTCCGAGCTGTCGGCACAGAGCCTGATGGGGGGCTTGAACCCAGGAACTACGAGATCATGACCTGAACCGAAGTCAGACGTTTAACTGACTGAGCCACCCAAGCACCGCATCCAGTTTTTTTTCCACACAGCAGCCAAAGGGAGCTCTTAAAAACCATGAAACAGGGGCGCCTGGGTGGCTCAGTCAGCATCTGACTTCGGCTCAGGTCATGATCTCGGGGTTCAAGGGTTCGAGTGCCATGATGGGCTGTGTGCTGGCATTGCAGAGCCTGCTTGGGCTTTTCTCTCTCTTTCTCCTACTCTGCCATTCCCCCACTTGCACTCTCTGTCTCTCCTCTCTCTCTCCCTCTCTCTCCCTCAAAATAAATAAATAACTTAAAAAAACCACACGCATGATTCAAACCACGTTGCTCCCCAGCGGAAACTGGTTGCCTCCAACTGCTTCCTGTACCTGGTGTGCCTGAAGAATCCAGACCCCGCCTGCCTTTCTGACTTTCTCTCTTTCCGTTCTGCCGTTACTCATCATTTCAACCTGATCTTTAAAAAAAATTAAGCGGATTCCTGCCAAGCTTGTGACTGCCTCAGTCTACTGGGTTTATTGTCCATTGGCCCAGAGTAACTTTTCATATGACTGACTCCTCATCCTCTCGCAGTCTAAGTGTCACCTTTCAGTCCGATTTTAGACACTGCTCAATATGACAACTTATTTTTTTTTTAATTTTTTAATGTTTTATTTATTTCTGAGAGAGAGAGAGACAGCGTGAGCAGGGGAGGGTCAGAGAGAGAGGGAGTCACAGACTGAAACAGGCTCCAGGCTCCGAGCTGGCAGTCAGCACAGAGCCCGACGCGGGGCTCAAACCCACGGAACCGCGAGATCATGACCTAAGCGAAAGTCAGATGCTTAACCAACTAAGCCACCCAGGCGCCCCAGTGACAACTTATTTTTATCTCGTTCATATTTCACTCATTAAACACTTTGAAAATATTTAGCCTATCACCAGCTCTACCTACCAAGGGAATATAAACCCTGTGAGGGCAGAGATTTGGTTTCTGTTGTTACCCACTGTAACCCCACTAATTGGCACAGAGTAGGCAATCAAAAAATGAATGCATATATGCATACAAACCTCTGTTGATGCACTCAACACATTATATTGTAATTTTTTTGCACATCAATGTTTTCCTCTAGATATTTTTAAGGTGTGAATTAGGTTTTCTTCTCTGAGGTCCTTCTTGGTGGCTATATGGTTTGCTCAAAAATCTAAGACAGTTTCTTTTATTTGTTTTTGAATGAGAGAGAGAGCCTGTGTGAGTGCACGAGAGCATGAGCTGGTGTGTGTGCGGGGGAGGGGCAGAGTGAGGCAAGGGAGAGAATCTTAAGCAGGCTCCATGCTCAGCACGAATCTTGACTCGAGATCGATCTCAGGACATTGAGCTCATGACCTGAGTCAACACTTAACTAACTGAGCCACCTCACTGCCCTTGTAAGAAGACAGTTTCTAAGTGTTAGTTGCATCACAACATATTATTAAATCTCTATGTAGGAAGGGCCTGGGAGCCTGGGGTAACAGGGTGTTTCAGCACCTCAACTAAAGCATTCATTCTCCCAAGAGACAGTTAGGGTTCTTTAGGTGATACTGCTCTTGTTTTCTAGTGGGTGTGTGTTGGGCGATGTGCTGTGAACTGAGAAAAGTTGCTATGACAGGGGAAGGTAGTTGACAAGCCAAGGGAAGGGAAGAACCGTGGGTCACAAAGGAGATGCTTGTGTGGCTAACTTAGAGTAGAGAACAGATCATCCGGATAAGAAAATGGAGACGGCTAATGAGTGTTTTTTTTAATGGAAACGGTTCAAGGGTGAAGAACAAAAGGGGAGAACGTGAGTTTATTTCAAGATGCCCATCAAAGGATGAGGGACCAGACAAATTCTGGGTAGACTTCACAAATCAAGACATGGGTAGCCTGAAATTATCAGCCTGAAGGAGAGAGGCCATGAGAGCCAAGGGCTAGGCTGCTTGGGACGACTTTAGGAGAGCTCAAGCTACCTTTGGCTACTTCTTTCCAATGGCAGAATTAGAAAATGTGAAATTGTCTAGAAAAGAAATGTGTAGAAATAGGAGAAAGAGAAATGGAATCAGGAATTAGAAGCCAATAACATTAGCAAGTAGTTAGTACAAGATATTTTTAGGGGCACCTGGCTGGCTCAGTCAGTTAAGTAGCCAACTCTTGATTTTGGCTCAGGTTATGATCTAGTCGTGGTAAGATCGAGCCCCGTGTCTGGCTCTGTGCTTGCCACGGAACTTGCTTGGGATTCTCTCTTCCTTTCCCTATGCCCTTCCTCCACTCATGCTTGCACACACATGCTCTCTCAAAAAATTAAAA